AAGGATCCTTCAAGAAATTAATTTTATAGCGAATTTTGAAAGTTATCGATGAAAATTGCAACATCAAAAATTTTATCAAAACTTGAAATATTGTTTTCTCAAAAACGAAAAGGTATTTTTCAAAATGGGTTGGTTCATTGGAAAGAAGACACTTTTATTAACACTTTGGGAAATTTTCATACTCATATTCCAAGAACCGGATTTTATACGAATTTTTAAAACTTAATCGGCGAAAATTGCAAAAATCGCAAAAATTGTCGATTACTTCAAAAATTTATTTCTCAAAACTAAAAGCGATTTTTCAAAACGGCTTTTTGCAAGATTTTTTAAACAAATCGTGTCATCTGCTATATCAAAATCGTATAAATATGCAGCAGTTATGGAACAGATTGTCAACAAAAAAGTATTATAAATTTGGAAAAAACACACTTTGGGCTATCTAAATCCGGGTTTTGTCCAGTCAATATCAATCGGCGTCGATCAAAAAAGCACTCCTGATAAACAACCCTACATAGAATCGGTAAATTGACCTTTCTGAGTACAACTCTTTTATTTGGTGGGAACAAGAAAACTAAACCCGTATCAATAATAGAGGAGATTTTCTGCCCTTTCCATTGATGCATAAAAAAATCGAATACGATGTTTTAAAACCATAATTTTTTTGTAAAAACACTTTTACCGGTTCGGTTTTGGAGCGCATTAAATCACTTTCGGGTTATGACTTTCTTATATGATACGGGCAAAACTCTAAAACAAGATAGAACTTATAGGAAATTTTCCGCTCTATACTGTGGTATATAACTTTAGTTGATCACATGGTTGCACAAGCATTTATCTCTCAAAAACTGCGAAAATCGCGTTTAATTGCTGTATGCAAATCTTTAGTGCATCGTAACTTTCTTATATGATACGTACAAAACTCCGATACCGTATAGATCCTATAGAAAATTTTTCGCTCTATACAGTCGTATATAACTTTAGTGGATCATAAGGTTGCACAAGTATTTTCTCCCCCATAAACTGCAAAACTGCATATAATTGCCGTATGCAAATGTTTAAGACGTCATAACTTTCTTATATGATTCGGACAAAACTCCGAGATTATATGGAATCTATAGGAAATTTTCCGTTCTATACAGTGGTATATAACTTTAGTAGATCACATGGTTGCACAAGCATTTTATACCCCAAAAACCGCGAATAATTGTCGTATGCAAACATTTATGGTGTCATAACTTTCTTATATGATACAGACAAAACTTTGAGACCATATAGAGACTATAGGAAATTTTATACTCTATACAGTGGTATATAACTTTGCTAGATCACATTATTACACAAGCACTTTATTCCCAAAAACCGCGAAAACCACGTATAATTGCCGTATGAAAACGTTTACACCATCATAATTTTTTATATGATACGGACAAAACTCTAAAACCATATAGAATCTATATGAAATTTTCTGCTCTATACAATGGTATATAACTTTAGTAGATCACATGGTTGCACAAGCATTTTATCTCCCAAAAACTGCGAAAATCGCGTATAATTGCTGTATGCAAATGTTTAAAGCGTCATAACTTTCTTATATGATACGGACAAAACTCTGAGACCATACCGAACCTATATGAAATTTTGTGCTCTATACAATGGTATATAGCTTTAGTAGATCACGTGGTTGCACAAGCATTTTACCCCCCAAAAACTGCGAAAATCGCGTATAACTGCCGTATGCAAATGTTTAAGGCGTCATAACTTTCTTATATGATACGGACAAAACTTTAAAACTACTTAGAACCTATAGGAAACTTTCCGCTGTATACAGTGGTATATAACTTTAGTAGATCACATGGTTGCACAAGCATTTTACCCCCAAAAACTGCAAAAACCGCGAATAATTGTAGTATGCAGAAGTTTACGGTGTCATAACTTTTTTATGTGATACGAACAAAGCTCTAAGGCCATACAGACACTATACAAAATTTTCTGCTCTATACGATGGTATATAACTTTAGTAGATCACATGGTTGCAAAAGCATTTTATCCCCCAAAAACTGCGAAAATCGCGTATGATTGCCGTACGCAAATGTTTAAGGTGTCATAACTTTCTTATATGATACGGACAAAACTTTAAAACTACTTAGAACCTATAGGAAACTTTCCGCTGTATACAGTGGTATATAACTTTAGTAGATCACATGGTTGCACAAGCATTTTACCCCCAAAAACTGCAAAAACCGCGAATAATTGTAGTATGCAGAAGTTTACGGTGTCATAACTTTTTTATGTGATACGAACAAAGCTCTAAGGCCATACAGACACTATACAAAATTTTCTGCTCTATACGATGGTATATAACTTTAGTAGATCACATGGTTGCAAAAGCATTTTATCCCCCAAAAACTGCGAAAATCGCGTATGATTGCCGTACGCAAATGTTTAAGGTGTCATAACTTTCTTATATGATACGGACAAAACTTTAAAACCATATAGAATCTATATGAAATTTTCTGCTC